TCACCTCCACTTAAGGCTCATTTCCCAGGACCGGCGGCTCACGGTGGGGCGTGGGGTGGGCATCACCACAAAGACACGAGGCCTTCAGGCAGCTGTCTTGGAGCACATCTCTGACCTTGGAGCACATCTCCGTCCTTGTCCTGCACTGACCTCTGCACAAGTCAAAACTCAGCACATACAGGACTGAGACTGAGTATCCAGGCCCTGGGAAACTCTCAGGTTAGGGTTTCTCCTGGTAAAACTATGAAGCTGACTTCTTTGTTTTCTTGGATCGAGCGGGAAAGACTGCTGCGGGGGTGTGGTGCTCTGGTGCTTCCTTCTTGCCTATTTGAGCGAGTGGAGAAAAGCCATTCTGTGCTGCCTACCAAGTAGGCTGTGTTTTCCTTGCAAAGACAAATGTCAATCACCCCGGCAGAGAGAGTTTTCGAGTCTGAGTAAATGTTTGACCTTCGGTGAGATTCCAGAATTGAGGTGTTTGCATTATCAGAAAACATGACAAGTTCATGGAGGACAGAAGTAAAGACAGATGAGGTTGTTTATACAGGAGGAGGGCCACAGGTCGGGGGGCTGGAAAATTTGGGGTCTAATTAGGATTCTCTGCAGAAGAAGCTTGCTGGAGATTTCTGGGGAAATCTTTTGCTTCTTCCCTGGAAACAAAAAATGCTCTAAAAAATGCTCCTTCTGGTGGGAGAAAAGACCCGATGGGTGGAAGTACACTCTGCTTGTTGGCAAAGGAGAGTGAGAGGTTTTTGGAGTGTAAAGAGAAGTAAAACTGCTTTTGTGCTTGGGGACTTAGATTGAGGGGGACAGGAACAGAGGAATGGTGTCTAACCAACTGGGCTACAGATAAACCCGGAAGCTTGATGTTTTCCAACACTGCTGTCAGGACTTGCTTTCCGCTCGATGGCTCTTGGTTCCACCAGATACTGATTGGCCATGATGCAGATGGCAGCCTGGGACCTGGGGTCATCCAGATGTATCTGGGTTACAGAAGTTCCCATGGCCCAGGCTTCCGGAAGAAGAGGGGAGGAAAGCAAAGCACATTTTGAAAACACTGCAGGACGGATGTCACTAAGGAATGAGCTACTTGGGTTGGAAGAATAGGCCGCGTTGGCCATGGGAGGGTTGCGGGGACTCGGCCTGCTGTGCTGAGATCTGGGGCTGCGCAGGCAGAGAGGGGGAATGAGGCGGAGCAATGCAGGACGAAGTCACATGTCAGCAAGTCTTCCATCCCTGGGTCCTGGGGACTTGGAGGCCCAGCCAGAGTTTCCTGGCATTTGGTCTTGAAGTAGGTAAGGCCAGCTGGCTCCAGAGCGTTTCAGAAAGCTTATGTCAGCCTTGTTTGGGGGTCTTGTTTGCTGCCTGGGAGGTGACACTGCTGCCTGGCCAAGGTTCAGCAGCTCCTCTGGGGGCACATGTGGAGGTGCTGGACTGTGATAGGATCTTTCAAGCCAGAAAAGGCTGGGGGACAGGAAGGTAGGGCCGGAGATGGAACGCAGGGTGGGTCTCACAGCCAGAGCAGGTCCCTTGGGCTTCAGCTAGTCATCATCCCTGGCAAGGAAGAGTTCTTAGTGACCCCGAGGCCAGACGAGTGCTCCTTCTCCCTCCTACTGTGAAGTATTCTGCGTGAACCTCGGCCTCCCTGGGGGGCTCTTGCATATGGGATGCGAGGCATGCTTTGAAAAAGCATCCGTGACCTGGTACACCCACCAAGCCTTCTTCCCTGGAAACAAAAAATGCTCCAAAGCCCAAGTTTTATGCAAACACTTAAGCAGGCAGTCTTCCTGCCTCTCTGCATTACTGTCACTTCAACACATCTCTCCCGGGACGCGCCTTGCATCCTTGCAGCAGGGAGCTTGGGTTCGCCTCTGGCTCCAGGGATCCATTTCCACAGAGGTTTCTGCACCCTTGGCTCCCCTTGCTCAGGTCTTTTCAAAGGTCATTTGCCCTTGAGGTTTCTCCTTCTTGGGGGCACAGGACTCTTTTCCAGGAGACTTCTGAATAAAAACACCCAGATCAACCAGGAGTGACCTGGGGAGCTTCCTGGGGTCGGGTGCACTTCCCTTCCTGCAAGAGGGAGCGATATTGACTGGATGTATGTCGTGCACACTCTTCCAGGTGCTTAGCTAGTCCTATCTCATTTAACCTCATAGTGATAACCACAGGGACTGGCAGAGGACACTGTGGCTTGGGGAGACTGTAACACACACAGGCTTCAGGCAGGGCAGCAAGGACTCCACCCCAGGCTCTTCTCTCCCCACCTGGGAAAACTCAGGAACTTGGGTTCTGTGCTGTGGAATCAGGAGCTCAGCATCTTCTGGGGTGGAGCTTTGATATGGGGGATGGGAGTCGGCAGAACTAGTTCTTCCTGAAAGCCCCTTGGGGCTCTGGAACCAAAGAACTCAGAATGGGCCACACGTGTGCATGTCCACAATTTTCTTTCTTTTTTTTGGATAGGGGGTACTGGGGATTGAACTCAGGGCCACTGAACAACTGAGCCACATCCCCAGCCCTATTTTGTATTTATTTACATACAAAATAAGTCTCACTGAGTTACTCAGCGTTTCACTTTTGCTGAGGCTGGCTTCGAACTCGCGATCCTCCGTTCTCAGCATCCTGAGCCGCTGGGATTACAGGGGTGCGCCATTGCACCCGGCTATGTTCATGATTTTCTATTTCCTTCACATCCCCTGGGTCACTACTGACCCACCGCTGGTAATGATGGATGTGGTCGCTTAAAGCCGCCTCACCCAGGATTTACTCCATACCAGGCCCAGCTCTTGGGACTGAGAGATGAAAATGTCACAGTCTTGGGCTGGGGCTGGGGCTCAGTGGTAGAGAGCTTACCTAGCATGCGTGAGGCACTGGGTTGGATCCTCAGCACCACATAAAAATAAAATAATAAAATAAAGATATTGTGCCCACCTATAACTAAAAAATAAATATAAAGAAAAAGAGAATATCACGGTCTTTACTACTGGTGACTCCAAGGCCCCCGTGCAGGCGATACAATCCCAGAAATGGATGGGAAGGGATCAGAAGGTTCTGGTGAAAGTTTCAATTGCAACCAGCTAGCCTTATAGCAGAATCCCATACAGAATTCCCACAGTCTCGCCCAGACTTGGAGAGGCCTCTTTGATGGGCCTCCTTGGCAAGAAATGCCGATGCCCCAGGGACATGACCTAGAGGAAGAGGTTTGGACAAAGAAGAGCTCACCTGAGCATCTGAGGAGAGAGAAGGGGTTTTGGAGTTATCTGGTGAGACCTTGAGAAGGAGCTTGAGGTCTTGAAAACCAGATGCGAAGTAAAGGGCTTCCCCATATTGCATCCTTCTGCTCCAACCTGCGCAGGGTTTGAGGCAGGCAACGAATGACGAGATCTAGGAAGAGTGAGGACTTGAAGTTTCCATATTAAAGCTGTTTCCAGCCAGCACAGTAATCACTGGACTATTATCACCTCTCTCTCCAAAGACCTTAAGTAAGTGTGGGTCACAAAGAATAGTGTGCACTCGATACAGTGGTGAAATTCCAGGAGGTGACATCCTCGGGAGGACCAAGGCAGAGCCAGGAAAGTGGGTTAGGAGATGATTAACCGAACAGGAAAAGGCGGTAGTGCCCTGACAGAGGACAGATTTTTAACTGTATGTCCCCACCCTCCTGAGAAGGTGAAGCTCACTGTGTGGGATGGAGAGGGCGTAGCAAGGTCTCCCTGTGGCATAGCCGGGGCAAGCAAGGGCCCCGTGCCTCGGGCACAGCAGTTCAGGGTGTGCCAAAAACTTACCCATCAAGTCACCTTTTAATGGAATATTATAAAGAAATATATGAAAATGAATGCATATGGGAGGGCTGGGGTTGTGGCTCGGCGATAGAGTGTTCGCCTCGCATGTGCAGGGTCCTGGGTTCGATCCTCAGCACCGCATAAAAATAAATAAATAAAATGAAGGTATTGTGTCCAACTACAGCTAACAAATAAATAAATATATTTTTTAAAAATGAATGCATACCACTTTATTTACAAAGGAGGCAACAGGCCCAGATACATTCACTGACTCCCCCTTCGTCCCCCACTCCCCTCTCACTTATCACAGTGAAACACTGACCTAGGAGAAGCCCAAAATGTCAGGTTAGGAATCGGTCATCTTGCTTTCATTTACACCACTGATCCTTTACATGTGTATGTGTTTTAATGAAAATTTGGTCTTTCTGGTAGAATTTAGCAAAGCAAAATCTATTTCTACTTTCATTAAACCTTGAATTCCTTGGGAAAAAAAATGAATGCCAAAATCCATAATGAACAAAACGTCAAAATTTTGCATGATGACAAACTCAGCATCACCGATTCTTCCCTTTGCCTCAGGTTCCAATAGAGCTGAGCAATGCCATGTTATAGATCCTTTATTTAAAATTTCGATGGCTTATTATTATTATTTTTTTGCTTTATTTTCTTGCAGTCCTGGGGATGAAACTCAGGAAACGTCTACCACTGTGCCTCATTCCCAGTCCTTTTTATGTGATTTTTTTTTAGACAGGTTTTTGCTAAGTTGCCCAGGTCGGCCTCAAACTTGCAATCCTTCTGCCTCTACCCCACCTCCCAGAAGCCGGGATGACAGGCGCGTGCCCCCACACCTGGCTGCACTAACCTTGATTTTTAATGCTGGTCGCTGAGTTTGTGGGCACACCCCCTAGTGTTATCTCTTACTCCCCTCAACCCAGTCCTGGTCCTGGCTGTGAAGGAAAGAGTAACCCTTGTGCCAGGGGGTTCATGGGGAAGGGCAGATGCCTGGGTGATACCAACTCTTGCAGGATACTATTGGGGCTCAGAAAAGGAGACCCCCAAAGTGTAGCCTTTGGCATGCTGAGTGCAGAACTGGAGCAGCAGCCTGAAGTTCTCTGTGACAACCCCACCTCACCCCTACCCTCACCTTGGGATCCTCTTTTTCTCCAGAAGTGCAGGGAGGGGCTTCCTCTGAGGTTTTCCTTGTCTTCCTTAGGGAAGTTCCTAAGGAAGGAGTACCATTGGTGTTTGTCATGGACCCTCTCCCTGGAATCTACATTAGCCAGAGATTAACCAACACAAGAAGAGACAGAAAGTCAAGCGCCACTCTCAGAGTCCAGGTGAACTTTGTTCCAGGTAATGGTTCACTCTTTCAGTCCCTTTATCTCCTCTAAAAATCATTTACTTTTCCTTTTAATTCCCTATAGTTCCCACTTCTCTCTTCCTTTACTACACGGTATTGAAGTTTTAACCATCGGGCCCTTTGTATTAGTCAATTTTCTGCTACTGTAATAAAATACCTGATTCTGACTATGTTACAAAGAAAAAGACTTAGCTCACAGTTCTAGTGGTTCAAGGGCATGGTGCCAGCATCGGCTGTGCTCCGGTGAGGACCTCATGGTCAATGACATTATGGTGAAGCACGTGGGAAGAGGAGAGATCACACCATGAGACAGGAAGTTAGAGGCCTGGGGGAGCCAGGCTTGCTCTTTATAACAACCTCTTCCCTCTAAATATACCTCTTAAAGATGTCACCAGCTCCCACAATGTCACACTGGGGACCAGGCTTCCAACACATGAAACTTGGAAGACACACTCAAACTGTACCCAAACCATAGCACCTTTCTTCGAATTTCATACTTCACGCGACTCTTGTGCATGTACACAATTAATAAATGTGTATGCTTTTCTCCTGTTAACCCGTTTTTTGGTTCATTTCTGCAGATTCAATTATCAAACCTTTGGAGGGTGGAAGGGAGGACCTGCTTACCTCTCTAATACCTCCAGAGACTCTGGATCACCACTGACAAAACCCTCCTGCCCGTTAGTGCCCCGGAGTGGGGGCGAGTCTCGTGTTCACACATCACTGTAGGCTGTGAGGCTGAGGCCTCCCTGGGACTCTGGTCCCAGATGGTGGGCACAGAGCCAGGGGGCCCAGTGGTCCAAGAGGGAAGTATTTGGGGAGCGGTGGGCTGATTTGATTTTGTCTCAATGGGAACTTTCTTTGGATCTCTTTCCTTGACTTCGCTGCACATTTCAAAACAACATTCTTTTATGAACAAGCACCCGGACATCAAATACTTCCACACCCTATGCTAGAAGTGCTCCAGGCCATGTTGTTCTTTTTCTTTTAAAGAGTTCCATGTAAAATCAGATGTTAACTCTCTGAATAACCCGAGTGGAAAGGTTTTTTTTTTTTTTTTCCTCTTTAATAACACCAATGACAATCAGAACAGGTGGAAAGAATATGTGCCCTTACAGAACAGCATACAGCAGTTAAGAAGAAAAATACCAAGTCGTTACATATGTAACAAAGTGCTCTTATTTATTGACGGTGAGAAAAATGAATAACAAAGCTTTGAGGGAAAGCATGGTCGGGAAACATCAGCACAAAGAATGATTTATTTCTTTGAACGGGGCCTGTTACTTGTGTAAATGGATTTTGTTTTGTATCTTGGTCAACACCAACTTCTCCCAGTATGGAGCTGGATGGGATCTTGGAAGTCGACTGGTTGAATGGCACAGTACCACCTCGGCCATGTCTACACTTTCTTCATGATATTGTGATTGGAAAACGAGACTAAGAAGGAAACGCAATTAAGCTGGGATCACACAGTTGGCTGGTGATGGAAATGGACATTTCTTTTTCTTTTCCTTTTTTTTTTTTTGGTACTGGGGATTAAACCCAGGGGCGCTAACCACTTGAGCCACATCCCCAGCCCTTTTTGTTTTTTTGAGACAGAGGCTCCCTAAATTGCTTAGGGCCTCACTAAGTAGCTGAGGCTGGACTTCAACTTGTGATCCTCCTGCCTCAGCCTCCCAGGTCTCTGGGATCATAGATGTACGCCATTGTGTCCCGCCCGATCATTTCTTCAAGTGATTCCAGGCCTAGATTTCCAGTTTTTGTTTCTTTCCTTTAATTTTTCCCTAAAGTACTGTATGAAGGAACAGCTTCATTAATTGCTATTGACTAGAGTGCAGGTGGCTTTGATAGTCACTCATAAAACCCCCAGGAGCATTCAAATACTTGTTTCCTTCCAAAGATCGTCTTGCCTAGTAAGTGTTGCATTGCGATTTCAAACACTTGAACTTCACACAGAGGGCTGGAAGGAGCCTCGGGAACCTTAATTGTTGCTGGTGGTGATCAAAGTGAATGTTCAGTTCTGCCTACTGCTGCAGGGCAAGATAAAGTCGATCATCTTTGATGATCTCTCTGCCTGCAGCCCTGGGCTTGATAGAGCTCCAAACATGTTTGTCTTGAACATTGTTGAACCTGGAAAAATTCACACTGAGCAACTGCTTCTTGTTGCAGGAACATACATTCTTCTCTTGGTAAAATAGCAAGCAGAGGAGGAAAAGTCCCCACCTGCATTCTTACAGAATTGTCCCAGGCTCTGAGAGCCAGCCGTCAGCTCCCGCCAGGCCGCTCAGCACAGTGGCCTGATGCCTTCTCCCCAGACACGGTTTATTTGGTACCTGAGGTTTTGGGCTGGTTCCTTTCTTACCTTTTGTTGTGATGGTGGCTGTTAATCTGTTTTGTTTGAAGAACTTTTATTTCACATGTGTTCATGTTAGAATCAGAAAACACAGATAAAGGGAAAAAAGTAGCGACCTACTAGCACTTTGGTGTGTGTGTGTGTGTGTGTGTGTATATATATACATATACTTATTTATATATATATTTTGGGATTGAACCCAGGGGTGCCTGGCATTGAACCCAGGAGTGCTCTACCACTGAACTACATCTCCAGCACTTTATACTTATATTTTGAGACAGGATCTCCCTAGGTTGCTGAGGCTGGCCTCAAACTTATGATCCTCCTGCCTTAGCCTTCCAAGTTGCTGGAATTACAGGCATGTGCCAAAAAATTTAGGTCATTTTTAGACTACTTATAATACCTAATGCAATGTAAATTAAATGTTAATAATTGTTATAATGTGTTATTTAGGGAATAATGGAAGGGGGGAAAGTCTACACATTCAGTACAGACACAATTTTTTTTTTTTCTGAATATTTGTGATCCGTAGCTGGTTGAATCCTCCGGTGAGGAACCCGTGGATACAGACTATAAAGATGGCTGTTTGAAAGCTGGAAATAATCCCACTTCCAGAAGATGGCTGAAAACAATTCTTTGGATGATCATAGACAGAACATGAAGAGTGGAAGAAAATTCACTAGATGGGTCCCTGACTCTTGTATCCTGAAACTTTTGTTTTTGTATTGAAAAGAATTAAAACGAGAATCCAGCCCAGGGAAGAGTCGCTGTCAATCTTGGAAGGTTCTAAAACAAGGACACAGTGTGTGAGAAGAACAATCAGCCAGGCCTAGTGGCAACATGCACGTTAAACAAATACAAAAAATCAGTAATTTTCAGAGGAATATAATGAATCCAGGATCTGCTACAACATAGCATTCATAAAATCAGGGATAGTATCCAAAACTGCTAGACACAGAAAGACAGAGGAAAATATGCTCTGGACTCAAGAGAGATGGTAACAAGTGGAGACTAATACCCAAATTACCCAATGTTGGAATTGGCAGACAGGATTTCAAAGCAGCTGAATAATGTAAAGAAAATGTTTCCATAATGAAGAAGCTAACAGGAAATCTCAGCAGAGAGATGAAATCCTAAAATGAACAAAGAAAACGTTTTAGAACCCCAAAGTAAAGTGTCTGAAATTAAAAATGTACAGCTAATAGTAGGAGGGAAAACCATTTAGGGTAGAGGAAAGGAACTGGGGGAGGAGAAAAGAAGAGTAAGGGCAGGTATTGGGGAACAGACTGACTAAATTACGTCACCTGCATGTATGATTACGCCACAATAAAACCCACTGCTCTGTACAATTAATATGCATCAACAAGAAGATGCCAAGAAAGAAATTGTTTTGAATGAACCACTTGGATGGGAGGAAAACATTGTCAGAGATTTTTAAAGAATGCACAGCTGAGGGCTGGGGTTGTGGCTCAGCAGTAGAAAGCTCGCCTCACATGCGTGAGGCACTGGGTTCGATCCTTAGCCCCACATAAAAATATAGAGATATTGTGTCCACTTACAACTAAAAAAATAAACGTTAAAAAAAATGCACAGCTGAGAGTAGATAACAGAAGAGTAAGTGAAATCAAACATGCATCAATAGACACTGTCTAATCTCAGGAACACAGAGATGAAAAGATTTTAAAAAATGAACAGAGAATGAATGATGCGTGGGAAAATATGAAAAGATCTAATAGGCATGTAATTGGAATTCTGAAGAGAAGACAGACGAGAACGAAGCCAGACAAAAATACTTGAAGAAACCAAAAAAAAAAAAAAAAAAAAAGAAGTACAGAATCAATTATATCAATCAAATCTAGGCATGTGATAGTCAAACTGCTGAAAGCCAACCACAAAGAGAAAATCTTGAGTAGGTGAAACAAAATGTCACATTACATATGGGGGGGGACAATGGTTCAAATGACCTTATCACTAGAAAAGATGGACGTGAGACAATGGAATCACACCTTTAAAATGTGGAGAGAGAAGAAAGGCAACTCACAATTCTGTATCCAGCAAAAATATCCTTCAAGAGTAGGGCAAAATGAAAGCATTTTCTACAACGAAAATGCAAGAGAATTTGTCACCAGCGGGCCTGGACAACGATGAACACTAGAGGGCGTTCTTGAGGCTGAAGGGAGACAATACTAGATCAGACTACCTTGACACCTGCCATTAATAATGTACAAACATCTCCTTGATGGGTCCGCTGGTCCCATGATAGAGGTTAATGAAAGGTGAGGTAAGCTTTAGGGCTACTCACCAAAATAGTTCTGGTTTTCTTCTGTAAGCGAATGGCTGCTCTGCCGACTCCACTTGCTGGGGTCGTGTGGGGCAGTGTGACTTGCTTTAAAATGGGGCAGAAATTATTAGAGGGTGAGATTTGCCTTGGGTCCTTTCCTTTGGCCTTAGCCTTCACTGTTATTAATCCAGGGTCTCTGGAGATACAGAGCCTACATATACAGACCCTTCCTCTAGTTTATGCTTGCTTGGGGGTTTCTCAAGTGCCTGCAGATTTTAGTTTCTGATATTTATTCCAGGAGGTTGTAGCTATTATTCTGCCATTACTGGAAGCAATTGCCTCTTTTAATCTTATTATTTTATTTTAAAAATTTTATTATTAGTTGTTAATGAACCTTTATTTTATTTACTTATATATATGTGGTGCTGAGAATTGAACCCAGTGCCTCACACAGGCTAGGCAAGCACCCTACCACTGAGCCACAACCCCAGCCCTCTTTTTATTTTTTAAGATGATAAAATTGGGGGCTGGGGTTGTGGCTCAGTGGTACAGCGCTCGCCTGGCATGCGTGAGGCACAGGGTTCCATCCTTAGCATGACACAAAAATAAAATAAAGATATTGTGTCCACTTATAACTGAAAAAAATAAGAAAAATTATAAAACTTGATACATAGTTGCAGCTTTTTTACCTTCTCTTTTACAGAGGTTTTGGTTCTAGGGATTGAACCCTGGGGTGCTTTACCACTGAGCCACATCCCCAGCCCTTTTTATTATTTATTTTTTTAAGTTTTGAGACAGGGTCTCAGTAGGTTGCTGAGGCTGGTTTTGAACTTGTGATCCTGCTGCCTCAGGATTCCTGGCTTACAGAGCTCTTCCTCCTGTCTACAGTGCTCCCTGTGTTCCTGTAGGACACCCGTCCTGCAGTGTTCTCTCAATTCTTCCACCCTGAAGGGGAGTCCGTCCTAGAGAAGCTCTTGGTGATCTTCCAGTGGATCTCTCGTCTGCTCCGGAGCCCTCTTCTGTGAGGTCAGAGCGCTGCCAAGGCCACGTGAGCTGGCTGAAGTCTCCTGCCTGAGCCCACAGTCTCCAGGCCGCTCTTCCCCCCTGTTCATCTTGTCTAAGCAGTTGCCTGACTTCCAAAGTCATTTCCCCTCTAGAATACCTGGGTCTAATGTGACAGTGACCCTGAAGGCTTAGCACCTTCTGACTGTGAAAACAAAAAATGAAAAATGTAATAAAGGCATGACATTTTAAAGGTGTGGGTGGTGTTGGACCCACCTAGTCCAGTCTTTTCATATCCATGTTGAGGGTCCAGATCCAGGGTATTTGGACTAATGGTGGCTGTCTGCTCACTGAGAAGCAGAAGCAGTGGCACTCCACTGTGGACTCAGTGGTCTCAAATTCATTTTATAGAGTTTGAGCTATATTTTTCTACTGTCATCCAAAAGTCTTATGTGAAAGACCCTCTTAACATCCAAACATTCACCTATGTAGTAGTTAAGGACATCGTGGTTGCTCCCAAGTATTGACAGTTATATACAATGTTGCATAAACACTTTGTGTAGTTTTTTTGTGTGGGTGTAAGTTCTCAATTTCTTTGGGTAAATACTAAGAGTGCAATTGCTGGATCACATGGTAAGAGAATGTTTAGCTTTGTAAGAAACTGCAAACTGATTTCCAATGTGGCTGTACCATTTTGCATTCCCACCAGCAATGAATCAGAGTCTACCACCTTACCAGCATTTGGCGTTGTCAGGGTTTTGCATTTTGTCTGTTCTGATGGGTGTGTAGAAATAACATTGTTTTTGTGGTTCACTGGTGCTGGGGATCAAACCCGGGGCCTCAAGCATGCTAGGCAAGCTCTCTTCCACGGAGCTATAACCTCAGCCAACCTCAGAGTTGTTTTAATTTGCAATTCCCTCATGGCAGAGGATTGTTCAGCATCTTTTCATATGCTTATTCGCCATCTGTATATCTTCTTTGCTGAGGTGTCTGCTTAGGATTTTTTTTTTGTTTTTTACTTATTTTAAAATCATGTTGCTCATTTTCTCTCTCTCTCTCTCTCTCTCTCTCTCTCTGTGTGTGTGTGTGTGTGTGTGTTTGGATAATAAGTCCTTTACCAGATTTCTCTCTTGCAAATATTTTCTCCCAATCTGTGGCCTGTCTTCTTATTCTCTTGACACTGTCCTTCACAGAGGAGAAGCCTTTAATTTTAATGAAGTCCAGCTTATTATTTCTTTCATGAATCCTGGCTTTGGTGTTGTGCAGTTGGTTTTAATAACAAAAACAATGACAATAACAAGACTGAACCAAAGTGGGATGTTAATTGCCATAAAAGCAATCATTTGGTATGAGCTTGAGCTCAATGGTGGTGTTTTACTTGGCATTTAAGGATCCTCCATGAAGATCATTTCCCTGGACATGTAATATGAAAACATAAATATTTACAATTACACTGTGCATCACTGGAAGGATTTCAAGTGCAATGTCTGCAGTACAAACAGAGAAGCCCGCATGTGCCGGCTAACAGGGAATAACCATTTCTTCACCTGCTGCTCCTAACGTCTTGTTTGACCAAGGTCAGGTATTGTCATGAGAGGTGCTGCTCCCTCTGCGGGGAGGTGTCCCATAGAAGAACACCTTCCTTCACCTCCTCAGAGGCAAAGACCACTGCTGCTAATGAGCATACTCGATAGACATTTTGAAAATGGAGATTTGTACCATGTCGCAGAGGAAATGACAATGACAGTCGCATTTCTGGAAGGAATCCTGCTTTGAGAGATGGTACCATGTCAAGAACTGTTCTTTCAGGCTGAGCAGGTAGCAGAACCAGGAACAGCCTGCTGAGAGTGTTCCACATGTGGCCTCATCCCTGTACCCTGGGCAGTCTATTCATGATCTTATTGAGTTGGCGTTCAAGGGCAAAGGAAAGAGATCAGCTAGCACCGGCCATCACCTCTACAGGGTTCTTGAGGGCCTTCTCTGTGGTGGATACTTTCTGGTGTGCACTGACACAGACACAAAGATGGCTACCCTTCCTGCGCATTCCCTTGCTTCTTCTCCAGACCTCTTTGGTTTTGATCTGCTTATTTGTTTCCTCTCCTGCCTTTTCTGGGTTTTTGGCCAATCTATCAGCCACTTCCACTACCTAGGAGTCAGGCCACTTCCTCCTCCATCAAACGGCGAGGGGTGCTGCTCACAGATCTGCCCACCACTTGTCCTTTGGGGCCATCCTTTAGTGAGGCTGGAGTGTGGCAGCATCCCATGGCCAGCTCACACTAACAAATAGAGCCGACTGATCCATAAACCAAACCTGATTTTTCCCCCTTTCTTCCTCTGATCTGTGGTTGCAGGAAAGTCACTTCCTGTCCCACAAGCCCAGAGCTGTGAGTTGAGGAAGAGGCATTGTGTATCACAGTCAGGTGGCAGGGAAGTCTAAGCCGTCTATCTGTGTGTTGCTCTGTGGTTCAGGCTCCTGGACATGATCCTGAATGTGTGTTTCCAAGATGGAATGCGGGCTGTAGTGTGTGCACACGTAAGTGAACGCCTGTTTCAGAGCAGAAGGCAAAGGGCACAGCGTGCACTCGAGGCAAGATGCTCCTAGGGTGAAGTGAGTCGAAGCCTTGGCAGAATTGGCCACCGAAGCCACTGCTGGAATTTGAGATGTGTTGGGGGAGGGGGCGCGGGGACATGAGCAAGGCCCTAATATGAACCCCATCTGCTTTGGTTCTATTATTAAAACTGATTTAAATTCCCTGCCCCTGATTCTCTTTTTCGCTTTGGAGGAAACACAATGACCAGACTGGGAAAGCCGAGCAAGAGACCTTGGAGGATCTATCCCCAGCCCGAGAAGCCATGGAACACCCATTATACACTCCCACAGACTGTGCCCACTGCTGAACACGTTTCCCCCTTGCTCATCAAAGAAAGCTTGGCTTTCATTCAAGTTGCTGTCTAAGATGCAGGAAAAGAAGATACAAATATTATATAGCCCTTTCCCTCTTCCCGCAGCACACCCACAGCTTTGGCAGCAGAGCAGGTTAGTTACCTGGAAAACACCTGTATGGAACCGGACGGCCCTCTGATCACGTGGTTCTTCCAGCAGCTTCTGGTGGGGGGTTTTCTGACTTTCCTACGCTTACCCGAGGCCACCTCCTACAACTTATTAGAATCCTGGGCTTCCTGGTTTGCACTGTGACTGCGCCGTAGGGCCTGAGCCATCCACCTCCAAGGAAGCTTGGTGAGGCCACCCGTGCTGGAGAGGCGCAGGGCCGGGAAGCAACAGAAGGGGACACCTTCGCTCCTACAGCGCATTCCAAGGCCAGGCTTCTCTGAGGCCAGAGGCTCTTCTTCCTGGCTTTGGATAATTGCAGGATGACCTTGGCAAGGTCAATAGGAAGCACAGGCTGGCCGTGGAGTGTGGACTGTCACCAGGAAAAGGCCCTGCTGCACAGTAGGGTGGTTCCAGCTTCTCTGTGCCCTCTGTGCCTTGAAACAGGCAGATGATTCCACTTCCAGTTGTGCCTTCATGGAGGCTGAGGAATAACAACAACATTCCTATCTGTCCCCTATCCAGAGGGACAGAAAGCGACTGCTGACGGAGGACTTTGGGGTTTGTGAGCTCCTTTCCTGAGTAGGATCGACACCCCCATGAGGACCCATGGGGCAGGGTGCAGGACTGATGGACCATACCCCAACCTGTAAGCTCCCTGGAGGCTCCAGTGTCCCGGCCACCAAGCTGCAAGCTCATCTGAAGATGGACCTCAGCCCCCACCCCACCCCTAGGATGGGGCTCATAGGAGATGTGGCCTGGGAACACACTCATGTCTCAATCACCTACAAACTCCAAACCCGAGCCTCTGTCCCCGTCTTCCTGCCTGTGTGGTAGAATGTGTCTGGGCTTCAGCCTCCAGTGCTGGGTTCTTAGTTCAATTAATGCATCAGTAGTTTACCTTCTCCCCTCCCCCACTCGTCTTTTCCCTCTTCCTTTCCAAATCACTGTTGGCACTCTTGGGTTCATCCCTCTGTACATTTCTCCTTGCTCATATGATCTTTCATTTATACCTACACGCTGTCCTTGGTAGAATCCTGACTTTATTTGCATCACAATGTGGTCAGCGTTGGCAATGGGTCAAGATTGGTTCAAACCAATAATGATAATGCTTTCCCTATAATCCCTCGTCTACCTTGAAGCCAAAGGTAGCCGTGTGATCCAGTTTGGGCCAAATATTAGTGGAACATAAGATAGTTGGGGTTTTTAAGAAAACATTTGCTGGCACATTTAGCAGGGTCTTTGGCCCTCTGTCCTTCTCATTCATAGAAATCAAGTGTGTGGCCTGTTAGTGCTGCAGGCATCTTGTAGCCATGAAATGACAAATCACCATGTTAAGGATGGTGGAGTTGAAATATAAAAAGAATGGGTCCTTCAGGGGCCTGCTGAATGACTGAATGGATGCTAGACACTATCTTTAGGCTAAAAATCATGGTAGAAGAGCAAATCCCTATTTGTTTAAATCATGGCTAGGGTGGTTTACTTTTATAGCTGATACAAAATGATATGCATGCACATTCATGAATTTTTTTGGTCTTCAATTAACAAAAGTACATTGTTATCATTGCATATACAGCCATGTGTCACATGGTCAAAGACAAACTACACATGATGATGGTCCCACAGATTCTCTTGCCTTAGCAGTGTTGTAGCCATCAGTGTGTGGGGGTACACTCTACATTGGTCCCACAATGATAAAATCACCTAACAAGACATTTCTCAAAATGCATCCCTCCATTAAGTGTCACATGACTATTCCTCTCATTTGATAGTATCTTTCTTAAAATCATAATCTAAATGGAAAGCTGTCCAAGTCCATGGGCACAGCTCTTATTTATTATTTAAAAATATTTTACTGATGGCCCTGAAAAGGCAATACTAGTACATGGCTTAAAATTCAAAATGTATACATGGAAAAGAATTCAGCTACTTTGGAAAATCGGTAGCTCCACAAAAAGTTGAATATAGATTTTCTATGTAACCCAGAATTTTCATGCCCAAGAGAATGAAAATATGTTACTCATGCACGAAAGTGTATACACAAATATTCATATCAACTTTATTCAGAATAACCCAAAAGTAGTAAAAAAAAACCCCTAAATGCTTATCTACTGATGGAGAGATTATGGTATATTCATAAAATGGAATATTAGTAAGCAACAAAAATGAAATACTGATGATGCTACAATATGAATCCACCTTGAAAG